GAAAGCCTAGTCATACATGATACTACATCCGCGGGTTTCGTGTGCACATCGTTCTTTTTGTTTGACAGCATGACGGCAGCCGGACTGGACTGTCCTTCAGCCGACGTGAGGCAACTCACTTACCTTCGGCCCTTCAGCCGAGCCGCCCTCAAATCGTCCTGAAGCCCTCGAAGGTGGAGGTGCGGTTCCGACCGACGGACGACTGACGAAACCGCAGCCCCCAACAACAAGCAAGCGTCCAAACGCATATCATATCGCCGTGCTTTTGGACAGATGCACCTGCGTCTCCATTCCTGATCCCTCGATTGAAGACTCAAACGTTGGATAGTTTTCTCAACGGAAAAAGCGTCTCTCCAGGCGACATGACTTAGCTATGTTGTTGTGCAGCAGTGCAATAGTCCAATCAAAGCCGCTCAGAATGATGATTTTTTTTTTCTACAGTTTTCTACATCCTCATTTTCTACATCCTTTCCTACATCCGCTGACATGTATATCATGTTACATGTTCTAGATCCTTTTCAGTCTACATGGTATCGACACATCAGATCTTGCAAGCACGGTGCAGTCTTGCACAGCAGCTCGCGGCTCTGGAGATGCTGCGTCCAGAGACTTCCTCCGTCGGATCATCCGCTTCCCGTCAGGTGCCATCCGTCCCTTTACATCGATCTGCTGAGCCTCCTCTTCAGGCCCCACGAGACGTACCTTTGCAGGCGGGGTCAGAGGAATCAATTCCATCTCGCCTGGCCTGGCCGTCCAAAGCCGCTTGAAATTGGAGGAAGGTGATACTGTAGTGCCTTTCAACTCATACTCGTGCTGCACTGCTCTTTTTCGCCACACAAACAGATTCAATGTCTTTTATCGTAGAATTTCATGAATGTCCAGATCATTGAGGCCTCGAAGTATCCATGAAACGTTTGAACACATTCTGCTGCAAGACCTTTGCGATGATCCAGTCTAACGCCAGGAACTCTTTAAGGGCCGCGTGAGATCCATGCAAGATCCAGAGGACTGCAATGGCTGCAGCATGCTGCAGCTCCGTGTAGAGGAGTTGATGTCCAAGTCTTGATGACCATCCCCTGATTTAGTTTCCAGCAAGAACATACTTCAGCAAAACTGATGGCATCCCGAAACCCAGCCTGCTTGTACAGCGTCATAGAGCTGAGGTTTTCTCCCGACATGTGAGTTGAGAGTGCTTGAAACAGTTTGCTGGTTAGTTGAAACACAGCCTGCTTGTGGGACACAGCAAAAGCAGATGTTCCCTGTCGCGGACTCAGGAGCGCAAAACATTGCCAACGCCTAAGATCCGATACGCGCAGACAGAGATACGCACTCCATGCAACGGAGCCTCTGCATCCAAGTGAATGTAAAACTCACGCACTTAATGGCTCTTGCACGCACCACTCTTGTATCTTGTGGGATGCCATTGCCAAGGTGGAGCAAAGGACTCGAATTTGATGTGGCTTTGGTTTGGGTCTTAAAACACAATTGCCAGATTCAACATGATTCAACTGATTTACAGCAAATTTCAACTAATCATGCTGCTCATGCTCCTTGACAACAAGAGCACAAAGCCATGCACATCAATGGATTCAGAGCACTGAATATGGGATAGGAGCATGGTTTGGCCCATGTTCGGCATGAAGTCGAGTGCTTCAGTGTTTGCATTGGTTTTGGAGTGAGTCATTGCAGGGCGCATCACTAGCAACCTGCTGCACGCCTGCACGCTGCATCTAGGTCTTCCCGAACCCAGACTTTGAAGAGTCTCAAGGTGCGACCTGATGGCCTCCAACGCAATAGCAAACTGTATTAGACCGATTTAGACCGCCCTTCGCCTTCTTCCTATTCTTTTTTTTCTTTGTTTCTAATAGCGATGGCCTCCAACCTCAAAGCGACTTTGAAGAGTCTCAAGGTGCCACCTGCACTACACAGGTCAGGAAGGACTGTTCGACACCCTGCACTGACGCACTGATGTTTTCACCAAAGGCGTCTACATCCTATTCTTTATCTCCTTTTGGACGCTAAAGGCAAAACTGAGATTTGCTTTGAAGAGGTCTTTCGGCTGTGTCTTTTGACTGCCTAGGAGTACAGGGATGTTGGCCATGTTGGATGTGCGGTTGGTGTCATTGAGTGATTTGAGTGATTCGACTCTTTGTTACCCAGCTAGGCTTGGGCATTCGCAAGAGCATCTTGAGTCGCAGCCACAGCTGTTTCTGTTTTCTCCAGTGACTGGTGTCATTAGATTTGACAAGCATGGTGAAATGCACTTGAGACTGCTACACAAGATGTGGATGTTGAGTCTACATTTATCCGCGCCAGTTCTTTTTGATATCCTTTTGACCATGGCCAACGCAAATTGTTGATCAGTCAAACATTCAGATTGGCGGTGACAGCTTCCTTACTGTTTGCATCTCATCATCCAAGGCCTTATTTGCGGATCTTGGCATGGCCCTGATTTGGCTAAGGTGCTCCTTATATCTCCTTATTTTCCGAGATAATTTTTGACATTCTCCCAGATTGGCCTTCCGGTGTTGCTTTGAGCTCGTCTTCCGCATGTCTTGAACGATGATCGGAGACGACGGAACTGACCTGTGGCTTCAGGTGCAGCGAGGAGTCCATCCACGCGAAGCCAAGCGTCTCTACCACGACCTTCTTCGGGATGAGACAGCTTCCACACAGGCTTTTGCACTGGCGGCTCTCATTTCGGGGTGTAGGCAAAGCCGATTGTGCCCTTGCAACACTCCATGGACTGTGGAGTTGGATCTTACCGGCTAATCCACTCGTCTCGTCGTTTCCCAGTAGCGATGCCCTCTATGATGCCCTTTGTTCCTAGTAGCTTCTTGTTGCCAGTAGTATGGCCAGGAGCTACGTGCGTAGCGTCCTTGCTCCGTTCGTAGCAGGGGCTCCGGGATGCGACCAGGATGCCTTCCTCAAAGCCTTTGATGAGTTGCGGCCCTGGATCCGTGGCCGTGGTCGTGAGGCGGGATCTTTGTAACACTGGGCATTCTGGTTGTGGGCTGGTCGTAGGGAAGTTGTATTCTTTTTGAATGACTGGGCAGAGGCTTCATTGATTCATATTATGCCTGCAAACTTCTTCTTAGCTGAATTTCCTTTGTCTCACGTCCCTAATGATACAACGCCTCGGATATGTCTTTGTCTTTGTGTATTTGTCCTGAATCGAAGTTGCTTTACTGGGTCGAAACTGACACGTTTAGAATGTGCCGGGCACGTGTTTCGCCTGGAGAGTTAAAAAGGTTCCTGCGTTGATCGTGCAGGAAGACTGGCCGCAGAGCACAGGAGCTTGATGCAATGCAGCTCCAGACCTGTCAGCCAACGCAACATATGAGCAACGGCTTTTATTTGCGGTAGTGAAGATTAGTCTAGGGGCGTTCCTTTTCTATAGCCCAATGTCAGATTTAGTTGGCGAAACGAGGTAGGAACACCCCGAGAACGAGATGGGCATCAAATGCGCCATTTGTTTGAAATGGTTTGGTTAATGACATGTTTAGCTTTTGAAACGAGGTAGGAACACCTCTCGAGAACGAGATGGGTATCCACACACCAAAACGAGATACAGGAATGGAGAACGAAATCACACACCAAAAGCGACGCGGGATTGGAGAACGAGGTAAGGAAGGTCCATGTGATAGTTTAACGGAAATAAATTCCATTGCTCATATGTTGAACCATGTGAAACCCAGCTGTCATTTTTTGGGGTGGAGGCCAGCGCTATTAGAAACAAAGAAAAAGAAAAGGAAGAAAGGTCGAACATGTTGATGTTTGTGCTCTCCGATGAACAGAACTCACATGAAGAACGTGCCATTCCATGGTGATGCTACAGATATGTTTGCCGGTCCTATCTTGATTGTTTGTGTATACTGTAATTCTGGTGTCAGTCCCGTTGCTTGTCAGGATGCCTTGCTTTTGTTCTTACCGGCCAAGGTATGAGAGGTTGAACTTGAATGATTTCGAAGCTTTCCAGCCTCATGGTCCATACCACCACAGCAATTGTATCATGGGGTTTGATCCACTTGCTTTCTGCAACAGCCTGTCTCAGGAGGTGTGCATGCATTTGCATGCTGCCCTTGACCTCACCTGAACCTGCACCTACACGTGAACACGTGAACAATGATTTAAAATTGGTACCGTCTTTTTTTTCTCGCAGAACATACGATTCTGAAACAAGTCCTTGCCCTGGTCTCAATAAATCAGCTACGCATCAGACTTGTCAACACGATTCTAAACTAATCAGCGAATCTGGAAACGTTCACTAAAGTTTGTTCAGAGCAACCTGCACGAACACCTGCTTCCTTCACTGAAATGGTGTGGGTTCGTAAGAACACCCGAATAGCGATGACTTGCAACTTCTCACTGGCTCTGTAAAAGATTGTTCTTGCCATCCAGCTGTTGCAGATGGGTCATCCGATGTTCTTTTTTGAGCCAGCTCATTTGTCCACCGGGTGAAGTCGGCTGAAGTCGGGGAGTTAGTGGCACGGACCACTTGCCACGAACTTGCGTGGCACACTGCGGCAATCACATACAGTAGCCCCCCACATGGAAGAAGACTTCATTTTCCAAACCCTTCTGCCAGAGGTTTGGTTGGGGGGTTCGTAGTGGTTGCAGCAAATGGTTCAGCTGCAGCATATAGCAAGCAGCTGTTTCCCACTGTGTGTGAGAGGAACACCACTGACTCCTCAGACACAGACTTCCCAGGCCAGGCTCGTTATTCTAGGCCACTCGTGGTGCTACAGGTTTGGCTACAGGTTTGACGAACGGAAACAACTGACCGGTTTGGCAGGCGAAGATGCGAAGAGAAGCATTCCGTTGTGGTTCCCAGCTGGACCTACTGTTGAAGAGAACCATTCCGTGCCAGAGCTTTGATCCTGGCTATACCAGTCCACACTACTTGTATGTGCCAAGCAAGGGGAGCCCTTCGATCTTGGCACACGAACAAACACTCACATTGACCCATATAGCAAAGCATCACTGAGGTTGCTTAAGCCATGGGGGCAGCTTCCGACGAGTGGACGCTTAGCGACGCCTTAAGGGACGGAGCCAGGTATGACCCAAACCTAGTTGCATGCTGGTCACGGTGTTTCAACCATATCAAGCACTCAGTCTATTTCCGGACCTACAGCTCATGTGGTGGGTGGTTGCGATGTTTGGGCAGTGAAAGGTGCTCAAGTTGGAATAGCCGAATCACTCCTTTGGCCATGTGTTTGTCCTTCGTTCCGGTCGAGTTTGGTGCAGTTTGCAGATTGCGTCTCAGGATCTTGAGCAGAAGAGAGGAGGCCGCTCAGACTATGGTGAAAATATGGCATCTCAAGTTTCGAGGGATAGAATTTGTAGAATCCATTGAACTCCCAAAGGGACAACGCCTAAGATGCCTTAGCCGCTCTTGGTGTTGATGCCCTTTTGCGATTGCTGCTCAACCTCCCCCCCGTACCTACGAACTTGTCAGGTCCTGAAGCAGAGCGGGACTGTGAATTGGGCTACATCAGCTACTTGGGCTCGGTTTGACCCATCGCACCACTGCATCCAACCCCAACCTTGATCCAGCAGCTTGGGCTTCAGCATTTGCCCAGCTGTCACTTAGTTTCAGCTCTCCATCAAATTTCATGTCTGGACTCGGTGATGTTTTCTATTAAGCCAGGCTCAGCACCGGAGGTCTTGTATCAGCACACCTTGGATCCCAGCCTCTCCGGTGCCACAGATCTTTTGTTGGCACCTCAGTAGAACACCGACTGAGCAAATCACCAACAGGCCCTTTCACAGCTTTCATGTGTTCTGTCTGCATGCGCAGCCTGCCCTACCCTTCTTTTTGGGGGGTTGTGGCCGCCTGCGCGAAATGAGATCTGGTTTATGACCGTGCGACATGGTTGGACGAACTCGTTTGCAAGGTCATTGATTCGCAACACAGTGGTAGCCTTGCTAGCCCGCTCGAGTCTCAGCTGCCGGCATGGTTCAGGCATCAGCAAATGTGCTGAGAACTTGATATTTCCAGACAGTATAATAACGTGCCATTCCACTTCTTAGTGAACTCCGTTGAGCTGTATCAACTGAGACTTCAGGCAGTGGGCTGATAGTCGAATTGGTCTTCTCCTCTGACTTCAGGCGCTCAAGACTGTTGATCTCCACATACTTACTACATAACCATACATAGCCTACTATAGAACAAAGAACAGGAGCTATGAGACCATGGAGATTCATTCTTTCCCAGTGGTCTATTGGCCCGCTTGGCCGCTTGGAGCCTCTAGACAATCTGGGAGGACGATTGAAGGACTTGTCCAGTAAGGTCTAAGATTGCAGAATGCCTCCTTTGTTTTGGTGGATTGACGGATTTTTTCAATTTCTTTTCATTGACTGTATATAATATGATACAACTGATGTTTTGAAGGGCCATGTCATCATCCATTGCTTGAGATGTTTCCGGCGACTTCATCGGCTCCAGGTGGATCTATGCCTTGATCTCTGCTGGCGAATCAGCCTTAGAGGCCAGGTTGGAGCAATTCACGGACGTCGAGTGCTTTAAATGTAGATAACCCTCTGTGAGCAGGTGATGGGGTGTTACTTTGTTACTAACAGTTTCTTTTCAAAAATCATCTTCCTGTTTCATCGGACAGTGGCCGAGAATTATTTTTTCGAGTTCGAATTCCTGGAGCGTGAACGCGTTTCACTCTATCCTTTTCACTGTTTCCTGTTCAGGAGCTTGCAGCCAAGCACAGCTATCCAAGAGCACTGGATTTGGAATGTGTCGATCCAGAGGACAGCGAAGTGAGGGATGTGGAAATGCTCGCTCAGTGGTGCTTTTCAGTTTGCTCTCAGTGGTGCTTTTCTTTGGGTATATTATAAGGGGCAACATAGAAGCCACTTTTTTCCAAGCCTTTGGACCTTGTGCAGGCCACGGAGCCCTGCGACGCTCAGTATGACCCGCTCTCCCTGGTTTTTCAGCGACATGGATGTCAAGAGGCTCTGCAGCTTTGATGATTGAACGTTGGTGTATGAAGCTGCTCGTCAGACAAGACTTATTGCAATGGACTTGAATCATTTGCTCACACCGAAAACCATCGAAAACACTATTTAGAAGCCAAAAAGACCAGCAAGAAACCGACAGTGATGGTTGTGTTTGTCAACTTGGCATAGCTACCGATTGACAAATCCACGCATCGCAGGTCGTGGAGTTGTTGCGAGCACTGCGGCCTGAGGAACGGTCCAGCGAGGCATTTCGGCCAATGGAAGGAAGCTTCTCGAGGTCTTTGACACACTGTACGACCGTAGCCAGACTATATAATTGTATAGTATATAGCCATGTGCAGGTCTTTGACACACACTTCGACATTGGTTTTCAGTTAACTCAATTTCCAGGAAAAATGGTGATGGAACGGCACGGTGAAAGGTCCGATGAGTTGAAGGTGTTTCAACAAAAGGGTTTGCTCACAATGACATGCTGCAAAAACGCACGGCTGCTGCAAAAGCTGGAAGAAGAAAGGTTTGGGGGAAGTATCATGAAGGACCATGAATCAAAACGTGAAGAGTGGAGTCACAGCTTGAAATCGTTCAGCAGGTACACATCCATGGCCAGTGGATGCTTCCCTCTCTGATGCATAGCTTCGTTGGACAGAGTAGCATCAGAGAGCTCTGTCCCCCTGCTGGAAGTTGGTTGAAAGAACCCTTTGAGACAGGGCTGGACACACACACGGTGCCGCTTGGCGGCGCTCGCGTGAGAAGCCTGAATAGATACCTAAAACGCCTTAGAAACGAAAGAAAGAAAGACAGAAAGAGCAGCGCTAAGAGGGCAAGAGAGAAAGATAGGTGTAGAAAATGAAAAGTGAATTTTTAGCACTTGACTGGGGTAGGGAAACGAGCCTCAAGAGCGACCTAAAAAGCCTGAGAGAAAGCCCAAGAAACGACCAAAAGCGCAAGAAGGAAAAGGGGGGGCAGGGAGGGGATGTATGTCCATGTGTGTGTACGTGTGTGTGTGTGTGTGTTTGAATACCTAGCACTCTAGGATTACTGAATACTTAGACGAAAAGAATTGCGTGCACTAGTTAGGGAGCGGGACTTTTGTCTTACACCGCCCGGGTAGAGTAGACTAGAAAAAGGGACAACAGAGGGACCATTTCCCTATGTTACCCTAATTAGGTAGGGAGTAGAACACAGTTGGGGGGGGGGGTCGGGAGACCTGCCTCAAATTTGGTTAAAGCCATTTTTTAGCCCGGCGGCTATCAAATTCGTTTTTAAGCCCGACGGCTGCATGAGCAGTGAATTCAGGGTGGAGAAAGATCGGTGAAGAGAGGTCGATGAAAGAACGATGATTCAGTAACACGATTTCCGGCATGCAAGCAGCGCCTCCTTGCGGAGGATCACACCCAGCACCCA